TGCGTCGCTACGCGCGGCACAGATAGGGGCTAAACTAGATGGCTGGGACTCACGAGCAGCAGCTACCGCATCTCCTGCAACTTCCTCCAGTTACTTTGCTCATGAGTCCCAAGCACCTAGTTTAGCCCCCCATCCGCGCCGCTACGTTCGGCGCGGGGATACTTTCAGCGGCGAGTTTAATTGCGTTTTGCGCATTCCGACAAGTCTGACATCTACCGCTGCTAGATCCTCAATCGGAAAAACAGTATTGCTAATCTGCGTGGGAGCGCAGAGGTCTACCCGCCATATTGCTTTCATCGTCTGTAATGTCTCGAAATTTTCAACGGTCGCTTTTATCGTCTGCTAGTAACATCTGCAGAAACGCTCGACATTGTCACCGGTCGCTTTTATCATCTGCTACTATTGTCTGCGATTTGTTCCTTGGCAGAAAGTCCAAATTTTTCATTGGACTGAGCCCCGAACAGATATTTCAGGCCGCTATAATGCGGGGGTAGAAGTTCGGAGGAGAGCCATATACTGTAACAATAAATAAATTGTTATAGTCACCAAATAAAATGTGTTTGTCCAGTCTGTTCCTCCCCACCTGCTTGATTGTAACATTAGATTTATAATTGAGTCACTGAACTTATATTAATATTGTTAATGATTTTGCAATACCACTTTAGTTTAGTCCTTAGTTACAAGCTACCTTCCACATACGATACATACAGTACAACTTGAGTGTTGTGTGTACAAACATTCGTGTTTTTTAAGAGGTGTAGATTAATAATATGCAGACGGTTGGTTTCTTGACTCTCAGGCAGGTACACTCTGACTTTGAAAGAAACACCCTTAACCCACTGACTACCAAGCCCATTCACCCTTGCATTTCCCCAGATACCACTTATTTTAGTGTTTACTAAAAATGCCATAGCTTCACAACTATTTGATATAATCTCACAATATTTTGTATTTTTGCACCAAACTGAATGAAGAACAGATTTCAAGAAAAAAAAGTTGTTTATTTTGTTTTGCATCATCATCATCATGTGGCTGTAGATTGGTGCAAAAAAGGCAACCGGAAAATATTTTATCTGACAACAATAAAGACAAATAAAAATGTCTTATTTTCAAAAAATATTTAACAAAAATGTATAATATTTTGTATTTTTGGACAAAAACCAAGAACACATTTAAAGAAAAAAAACAATAAGGTTTACTCTGACATAGTCATCATCATCATGTGGCTGTAGATTGTTGCAAAAAAGGCGACTGAGAATCATTTATCTGACAACAATAAAGACTGATAGTGATGATTTTTTTTCAAAAATTGTCAACAAACATATATAATATTTTGTATTTTTGCACAAAATTGAACCGAGAACAATGTGAAGACAAAAAATGGGGTTTACTTTGTCTGACATAATCATCATCATGTGGCTGTAGATTGTTGCAAAAAAGGCGACTGAAAAATCCTTTGTCTGACAATAATTCAGACTCCCAAAAAATGTCACAGCTTCACAACTGTTCAATATCACTTATCCTATCTGATATTGTTTGCACAAAATTAAATAGATAACAAATATCAAGACAAGTGTAGATTTACTGTTTTATATCATCATCATGTGGCTGTAGATATGGTGCTAAAAAGGCAACAGAAAAATATGTTATCTGACAGCAATATATAGAAAACGCCGCCGTGACATGATGGTGGCAGCAAATGATGAGTGGAGAGATGGATATAAACTCTGGTAGTCTGAAATAGACAGCTTTTTCACAACACATGTGACACAACAGTACAAGAAACCCTGTCACTTCATTTGGGGTTGTGTGTTTCCAGTTCCAGCACTAATCTTTGTCTCAGCATAACGGTTTGTTTCTTTAGCAAACACAGCAAGTATGTCTTTACTGAAGAAAATATCCAGTGGTTCATTTGTTCCTTCTGGCAGAAATAAAACAGAAGTGCCAGTAAATGGGGGTACTCCAGGAAAGCCTTTCTAAATCACAATGCCAGTCATCAACCATTTGGGGGCGTGGCACATCTTCTCCGGACTCGTTAGATGATGATGATTCTGAATCAAAAGCGGCAATGATATTTTCGTCATGTGCAGACTCAAGCACAAAATCTTTATAATCTGTGGGCTTTGACTGAATACTCTCACAAGAACTGTTAGCATCATAAACTGCAGCACTAGTGCTTTCAGTCGACAACACTGTGACTGTCTTTGTCAGACGACTTCGAAGCGTCACACTGTCGTTTTACAGTCGACGATGTTTTGAATGGCACTTCGTTAAATTTATTATAGTCATAGCCATCAAACTGTTCAGAAGTGTCTTCAAATGCATTTTTTGAAGCAAAATCAAGAAAATCGAATGCATCATTAGAAAAATTAGAAGAGATATGGCCATCACGATGGTTCCGATAATTTGACGCCATGATGAATTTTTCATCAATGTCTCACCGTCATGGGAGCTAACTAAAAAAATTCGTAAAATATTTACTTCAAGCACTACGACGTTATTTCCCTTAATTAACCATACAGAAATGAATAAGCTAGAGGTTTTAACTAAATCCATCATAAAAATCGCGATTTTAACATGACGGCGAGCGTCCAAAGCTAAAATCGCAAAGGGTGTGACGTTGGCAGAAGGAAGTAAACGTCGCCTCGTCGCATTACGTGCGATGTTGGTAGTCAGTGGGTTAATTAGTCAACTCATGTGATAGGCTTGTTAGAGAGGAAGCAGTCGGTCTGTTCTTTCATTTCTAAAACAGAGCCCTGGAACTCACATAGGCAGCTTGTTTGTTATCTAACATGAATGAGATACTTCACACACACACTCAGATAGATAAAAGAATAATTTGCTATCCTCTGAATAACAGTCCTAAATTATTGAGGCCGAAAATATACCTTAACGGGGCCTCAGTCACATGTAAATTGTAGACTTCCGGCGACTATACCGCCACTGACGAGAGTATCTCCTCTAAACTAGATGGCTGGGGCTCACGGGCAGCAGCTACCGTATCTTCTGCAGCTTCCTTCATTTTATTTGCTTGTGAGTCCCAGCCGTCTAGTTAAGCCCAGCACGTAAAGGCGCAAGAGATACTCTTGGTGGTGGTGGTATACTCGCCGAAAGTCCGAAATTTACATGTGACTAATGAACTGTTAGGGTATATTTTCGGCCTCGATAATTTAGGACCGTTATTCGGAGGATAGCCGAATACTGAATATAAGCCCATATCATCAGAACTCTTGAAATGGGGGTGGGGGGGAGGGGTCCAATGAAAACTAGCTTGTTAAAATAAGATTGCATTAGGGGTAGCTTCTCCCATCCCATAATAAGAAAATTCAGCTGTTAAACAGCTGGCCAGTTGGCTAAAGAGTAAGAATAGAAAAGTGCATAGATTAAGAGCTTGTTTTTTTAGTTACTTTCATGTGTGTTCATTTTTTTTTTTTTTTTGTAGTGTTTTAATTGCCACACATAAATATTAACAATTTTTCGTGTAGCTATATATTTCACTAGTTTATTAGCTTTCTTTGTCCTTATATGACAGAAAACTTAAGTTGAAAGAGCTTTTCTGTGGGCAAAAATAACTTTTTCATTATTGTTACAAAAAAAACATTTATGTTTTAAACTTGTATGGAAACACCCTTGCTAGGTGGCAGTCAGCACTTTTATGGCACCCGGTCACTGTGAGATTGTAAGTATGTTTGAAATCTCGTGGGCGGGGGGGGGGGTGTGTGTCAGAGATTTTAGGCCAACATATATATTGTGCCTTGGTAAAATAAATGATGAGGAAAAAGCTTGTTTGCTCTGTACTTATATATGTTGCAATGACATGTAGGATAAAATAGTGAAGAATTTCTTACCCTGTCTCAAATATTACTGGTATATCATACTGGCTATATTTTTCCTCATAAATAAACCATTTCACACCCATTGGGTGATGTGACTGTCATGCAGAACCATTTTTAATTCCAGGAAGTCTTTTGGTGCTCATATTAGACTGTTGACCTGTGGGCCAGTTGCAATTTTTTTCTTCTTTATTTTATGGGGATTTTAAAATTATGTCCAGTGGGAGGGAAAAAATACTATATATATATATATATATATAAGGAGTAATCCGTAAACATGAACAGAGTGCAACATTAAATTTAATACATTCCCCTGGGCTTAAAAAATTTATGTATTGGATGCTTCATCCTGTGACCTCTATCAGTGAGGCTTACAGGGATGATTTGAAATCAACTTTTTAAAACACCCCAGCCGGCTTCCCAAAATAAGGTCTTTTTTTTTTTTTTTGAAGGACCACGCGCGCGCGCACACACACACACACACACACACACACAGATGCTTTTTTAAAGTTAACATACTTATTTCATGACTCCATAAAAATGTCAACACAGCCAGCAACATTAACATCTCATGAACAGATCACTACAGACAAGTCTGAAAGGTGACATTGTACAGGGAATTGGCCCCAACGAGAAGTGTTGGTTTTGCGGCTTCTCTGGTGCGGGGTTGGAGGGAGTTAAATTCTCGGGGAAGGAGAATCTTCTTCTTCGTTTACCGACAGTAAGCTCTGGCAGAAAGTTTAGTTGTTCAATCATTTGGACTTTAGTTTTGTGCCAGGGCCTGAGTTTTGCAGGAACGTCCATTTTACTGGCTTATTTGTGTGCAGCTGGTTGTTCCTTGTCGCATAACCAGATGCACTCTGACTTCTAAGGAAGCATCCTATTAGTCTAATCCTACGACATGCTTGTTGTTAAAGCAGTGAGTCTTTTCTTGTTTTCCCCTCAGTGAGGCTCCAGAACTCACACAAGGAGAAGGAGGCGACAAGGGTATTTTTTGTGTGTGTGGGTTTAACTTATCTAAATAGTGTTTAATTTATCTCTTGATGTAAGTGACTTCTGTGTTAAACTCACCTAAAATACATTGTATTTTTATCATTTCAGGATCCTGTATGTAAACTTTGACACAAGAAGTATCATTCTTTGACAGTGGCTGTGTAGACTTGAATTATGTTAATAGAAATTCATAAAGCCGTGGAGACTCTCCACAAAATAGCATTTGGAGCTAAACACACCAATGCCTACAGACTCCCAGAGAAGAAACTTGCCACCTTTATCACCATCCTTACTGAGCTGTTAACAGCCCGCTATGAAAATAATTGGTACCCGGAGAATCCTGACAGAGGCAGTGGGTATCGCTGCATTCGGATAAATAATCAGTGTGTGGATCCTACAGTTGTTGAAACTTTGAAGCGGGCTAAGATTGAACTTACCAAGGGGTTTGTTTTCACAGAGGTGACTGTCTGGGTAGATCCTGGGGTCGTTTCTGTGCGCATTGGGGAGGATGGTAGTATTGGTTCTGAGGTAGTTGATGAAGAGGCCTATAACTTTGGCAAACGCACAAAGCAGACTGTATCAAATCACTCCGGATCTGAGTCCGATGAAGGATTCTCATCTTCCCGCAGCTCAAGCCCAGAATCAAGTGCATCCGAGCGCTCTTGGTCCTCTAGTCCTTCCACTTCCCCAGTATCTTCAAAATCTTCAACCTCTCCAACTCCGTCCACACCTGAATTCAACCCCTACTCCCCACCTGCCCATGTTTCATACCCAGGCCGTTACTCGCGTCCCACCACCCCTCATCTTTCCTCCCAGCAATCACTGAAGAACCAGTCTCAAGTCAACTACCTTCAAGGAGCGAGATCTCAAGGCAGGCCTGTGATTCCCTTTGGACCAACATTGTCGTCTACCCCTAATGGAGATATCAGCCAGCAGGGTCACATTCCAAGCCCCTCAGTTCAACGTCCTGCCTCATACACCCGTCCACGAGCCTTGTTTCCTGCTGAAGAGACCGGCCGCAGCCCGAGGACCCCTGTGAACGCAGTTGGAAAAGTGGGATTCAAGCAATATCACACTACTCCTCTGGTGTTTGGTGGCAGCTTGCCACAGGCAAATTTGGACATTCCAGCTATGGCTTAATTGGAGACTCATACATTGGATTACACTTAAATGTTGTATGCATGTTCTTGACACCCTAAGTGACATCTAATTAAGCCATATTTACCCCTCCCTTCTCCTCCCCACTTTCTTGAGGTTCATGGAATGAACCTGCTTTGTTTAAAGGTCTTAAGAGTTATTAGCAGCTTTCTTTGTTCATTTTTCCCCTCCAAGCCCTCTTCCCAACACCCCTGTATATGTTTTTATTATTGCAGCACTACTTTAGCATTCTCATTACAAAGGTGATACTAGAAAGTTGATTGTTGATTAACTTATATGACAAATGTTCCTTTAGAAAGACATGGGCATGCAAAGACACATGCAGTAATGTATCATTAGAAACTGTGATCCTGTTGCAATAAAAAGGTCATCATTTGAAGTCTAACATATAATCTTCATAACATAGAGCTGTACCTGTATTTTCATTTTACGCTTCGAAACTTGATAGCTGTTAAAATAAATATATTGATTATTTTTGTAATGACGACCATACTTTTCATCATTTTACATTAGGAAATTACCAGCTTATTGACATGTTTTAATTCTGTTCAATAGGATGACAGCACGTTGAAATAACTCGATTAACTTTTATTGCGGTCACTTTACATAAAGAAATTAACAGCTCACCGAAAGTTGTTTCATTTTCTTTATTTTAATAACATTTTAAAAATGCATTAGCTTGTGTTATTTAAAAAAAAAAACGTTTATGGCTATTGAAATTGTTTAATTTTAATTATTGTCACTTGTAGTAAGAAATTAACAGCTTATTTAAATAATTTCTTTAAACTGTGGTGACTGTTATTTAAAAAGGGTATTGTTTAGGCAATAAATTGATTCTTTACATTTAAAAGTTGAAAATCAAATAGTGGTTCAAATCATCCCCTTGATTCTTTGCTTTTGTTCCTATTTGCCATCATAAACTATTGCTTATTGTCAGTAGAAATTAACTATACTTTGTGCGTGCATACTTTGTTGCCTTTAATTCTTGCTTTTATTGCTTTGACAGTTCATGTCCAGTGTTTTGTGACTAGATAACATTTTCCATAGACTTCATTCTGTAATTGTCGTGGTGTTACGCAGCATGCTTATTGTTTTATTATTTTTTTTTTTTTATATATATATATATATATATATATCTGTACGGATTGGAGGGGAAAGTGTTACCTTTGTTTCCTTTCACAGGCTGGTACTTTTCCCTCCATTGGAGTGTGTTTGTTTCTTTGTGCTGATATTTTCCATAGTTGATTATACAATGCATTATGTATGTGTTACTGATACTGGTGGATTTTGTCTCAGGGTGTGTTGAACAGCTACGAAAGAGGATGTTGATCTCAGGTCCAAAATGGCAATTCATATTATAAAATGTCTGTAAACAATTCCAGAGATATCAGCTGTTAGTTATATGGAGCATTTTAACACTAGTACCTGATTCTGAGCCAATGGCTTGTCTGCTGTGATACTTTTAAATGCCTTCACACAATGTTGATATTAGCAGCGATGTGCTGTCTCTCTCATATGCTGTCAATAATGATGCATTTGTCACTTGTTACTGGTGCCATCCGTGAAGGTTTAACTTGCTGTATTGCCATTGCTGAAACCAGTCATCCTTGTCTATGCCATCATGTCCGCAAGCATACACTCATACCTCGGTTTTACGAAACCCCATTTACCAGATATCAAGAGCATCACGTAAAATCTGGAATCTTCTTTTTTTTTTCGAGCGCCAGCTTTAGATGCTTGTTAGATAGAGCTGTGGCTTACACTGAACAAGGGCCAGTTTCACAAGGTAGCAGCTCTAGTTGCAGGCTTTCACCGTGCTTGTGTTAGAGACTTGTTCCACGTCTAAAAAAATATTGTAGATATTTAAGCCAGAAAGTGTTATTGGTGATATGTGCCACTACAGCCTCCTCATTTATGTAACTATGAAGCATCAACAATATTAGACCGCTAGCTTTTCCTACCCCTTTTCCCATTAAACCGAGGTATGGGCGTTATTTTAAGCTGAATTGAAACATGTCAGTCTCAAACCTTATCTTTACTCATTGTCGATCTGCCATAGCTGTAACCTGTTTGGTGCTGGGTGCCATTTAAATTTATCAGATTCGATCGCTTATCTGTCACCAGTATTTAACTAAAATATGATCGTTTAAAAAGATAGCAATATATTTTACATACAGAGGATTATTTTTATCTGTGGTTGCAATATGATGCCATTCACATTGCATGCAAATTGAAGTACTGCTTTTGTTAATGTCAACTTTTATTCTGTAAACTGTTATAATGAGTTTTAAAATGTACCTTAAACGTCTGATCTTCACTCTTGATGACAGTTTGATGTATTGGTTTTTTTTTTTAGACAACTTTCATGTTTCAGTTCCCTATCATAAAGTGAAGAGTCTTTCATTGTTCTGCTCAGTTCGGGTTTTACAACCACTGTTGCAGGGCAACCTAAGAATTCATTTGTCGGATACCATCAGTAAGATTTGTAAATGTGTACATTGCTATTAAATAGGCTACCTATGCATGATTGTGAGAAAAACAAGTTTAGCATTTATCAGTTGTTTTTGTGCCTGCAGCTGTAATGCCAGGTTAGTAATTTGATCCAGCAGTAGAGACCTCAACATGAATCATTGTAAAATAAGTAGCCAGCGAATCACATTGATATGACCCGTGTAAATAATTGGTTTGTAATTAGGATCTCAAGGTGCTATATTGACATCCAGCAGGCATATGGTTGTACAGGTGGACATTTGGGGGCAGGAGTGGCGGCTAAAAGGGGAGAAGATTCAGTTGGTGATTTGGCAGCTGCTGGCCTAGACTATGCCTTTCCTGTTTCGGGTTTCGCATTACATGGACCGAAGGCTAGTGACAGTATGGTGCAGCATTTCGACATGCACTATTCAGAGCACAATTATCTGTGGCATGTTTTTCAAATATGTGTTTCTTTGCTTGGCTACAGGATTTATTTTTGTCTGTACGTACATGCATCTGTAAATTCATATATACACACACATACAAATAACACACACACATTTTCCTTGGCTACACAGAGAAGATGTGATGTTTTTTCCTTCTGGCAGCTTGCTCTGTACTTGCTAATTCAATAAATTCAGTAATTTCCTTCCTTCGGCATGTGGGTAAACATCCTGCTTGGGCTTTACCCGCTTAAGCTTTGTTTCTGCATTTCTCGTGTGGGTCTTGGGGCCCCATTATGGGGGGAAACAGGAATAGACCCATTGTCTCCCTAACAAACATGTTGTAAGAGTCAACTTATCATAGGGTTTCCTCCAAAGTTGGAGTGCATACAAAAAAGGTCAGATCTGTAAAAAAGATGTGCACACCACGCTCAGGTTCTGGAACAAGTCTCGCCCAGAGATAGTTGAACAACCAGAACTCTCTGCCAGAGTTTACAGCCCGTGAACATGAAGAAGAAGTTTCTGTGTAAAAGTGTGTTTCTGGTATCAAGATATGTACATACTTACAATACAATCATATACATACGCATGCACATATTGTTTCTAATATACACAGTAGTAGTACTGTGATGTGATAAACATTGTTGTGTTCTGTCATATGTGGTTTCTGTTGCCAGTAGATTGTAAGTCGTGCATGCTGTCTGATACATATTGTATATGAAATTGATCATTTGTGTGGTTGGTACTTGACTAGTATCATTAGGCAGTCCTTGCTTTGACTTTGTTTCACTGTGAAAGTGTGTGCATCTCTGATGTAAATTACTTTATTTTATTCTCAGATGATATCTGCTAAGTGCCATTCTGAAGTGTGAGCATCCAGCGTTCGGTATTTTGATACAAAATGCACTGATTAATGCTATTGTTGTGTTAACTATGGAGTATATGCAGAATGTTAATGTGACCCATCTGTGTCTTTGTATATGACAGAATGGTCATCAAAATTGGAAAAAAATAAGAAACATAAAAAAAGGATGTGTACAGATACTTTGTTTATTTGTAGGTGTAAAATAAATCAATACATATTATTTCTGTTTGAACTGAGTCATGATTCATGTGTTTGGTTATTTATAGCTGAGGTTTTTAATGTCGTACTTCCTCTTCGTGTTCACTGACTGTAAATTCCAGCACAAAGTTCTGTTTGTTTGTCCACTTCTAGACTATAATTTATTTCCAGAAACTGTGTTGCATTCGCATCCATTTTAAAGATTTGACTCATTTGTATGCAGACTGTTGGTTTCTTGTCTCTCAGGCAGATGCATTCTGTCTTCAAAGGAAGCTTTTAGTTAGTTGACTTGTATGACATCCTTTTGGGTAGGCAGTGGGTATGTTCATTTTTCATACAGTCCACACAAGGATTATGTCATACAGGCAAGTACTTTATTCTTATTGAGGTTATAGCTAGGAGGTTTTCCTGAGATGCCAACAGCCCGCTTATACATATGCTAGATCTATAAATGGATACGCACGTGAAACTCAAGTTATGAAAAAAGATCGAAATCCAGAAGTAGGCAGTCAACCAGAACTTTCACCCCAGTTTACAGTCCGTAAACACGGAGAAGAAACAAAGGTTATGTCATGAAGATGAAGCTGAAGTGCATCATGACGGTGGGAAAGTTGGAGGAGAAAAGAAGCAGAATGAAAGAAACCAAGTGAGAAGATATGGACATCATGGTAGGGAGGGTATTCTTTACCATAACTGATTGAAAGTACACAATAAGGTTATGGGGGGGGGGCAGACGAGGATGTTAGGGTTTTGCTTGCAAAAACATATTTCAGAAATGATCGACAGCATAGGAAAGAAAAAAGAAACATGATTAGATTACCAACGTCTGACTTCAGGTGATTTATTTCCGTTCCTCCACCTACTGCAGGAGATTTCCAGTTCTGTATGGAAGTAAATCAAGGACAGTTAGTGAATAAATTATTTGGGAGATGTGGTTTTATAGACGAATGATGAGAATACCTTGGACAGATAAGAGTAATGAAGGAGAGAGGGAGACCGAGAGA